AAAACTACCAAAAAAAGTGACAGATTGTTATTAATTAGATTATTTAACTTTGACTTACAATTAGCTCTCTGGTGTGAATATTAAGTTTATGGAAGTGGTCAGACGTCATAATTTAAAATATTTAGCATAACTGGGTTCACCAAAAAGTTCTTGCTACACTCTCCCCCTGCGGATCACACTCGGGTGTGATACAACACAAATAATTAGCAAGAAGGGAGTAAACAGTATTTAGAAAAACCGAGGGTTAGGACAACGCACTCGTGACGAACACTGGTAGGTAAAGCAGCAGGTGCAGCATCCTCCTCTGGTTCTGATGATAATAAGACGGCATGTGATGAAGTTTGTTTCCTCGTCGATGAATCGGGTGAACTAGCTCTGGAAGGATGTCTTCAGGGGATGGTGGTACATATTTGGTCAAGGCAGAAACGTGATAGGTACCCAAGGGTACAGATGAATTATCTGGACAGATAATTTCATAAGACGTAGGACTTACAATCTTGGAAATACTATAGGGCCCGTCTCTTCGAAGTGCAAACTTAGAAGTAATGTGTTTTCACCAACACTAAATCTGATACTTCAAAGATCAAAACACGACGTTTACCATCAGCATATTTCTTCCTTATGTCTAATGTCTTGTTGTCTTTTATGGTTCTCTCTGGCTTACTTAATATATCAGCAAGTATTCGTAGATATGGAGTTATTTAAGGTATAAAGTTGTAACTTCCGATGATCAACAAAAGTTAGATAGATAAGTTGGTGAATATCCATTAGCTTGACAAAGAGTAGTATTCATCGCAAAACGCACCCAAGGTAACTTTTCTTTCCAGTTAGTATGATCGTTGGGTGTTAGGATAGCGAGCTAAATCTTTTGGTCTCTATTCTTACATTTCACTGGGTTTGCAACTGGATGATTTGCAGGTATCAAACTCTGGCTAAATCCAAGTGCTTCGGCTACATGCTGCATTGCATCCCTGACAAACTGTTCGCCGTTATCGCTGATGACTTTCCTTGGAGTACCAAAACGTAGCACAATTTTATCAATGAGGCACCTGGAACATGTTTCAGTTGTGGCTTCTTTAAGCGGAAACATCTCAGTCCAACTAGTGAAGTTGCTTTCCACAATAAAGACCAATTTCTCTCCAGTTGGTGCTTCTGGAAGCGGGCCAAAAAGGTCGATTGCAATGGTTTCAAAGCGTTGTGTCTGTACAGGTGTTTGGAGCAGTCCTAAGGATTTCACATTGGAAGCTTCGTATCGTTGACACTCGATGCATTTTGCTACATATGCAGTGATATCCTTGCGCATTCCTGTCCAATAATATCGAGGAACAATTTTCTGGATAGTTCGTTCTACCCCATGTCCTGCGAGTAGCGAATCGTGGGTTTTTTTCATCACTTTCTCCATTGAACATTTTGGTACCACCTGTTGGGCTTCTTCTCCATCATGATCAAGGGAATATCGATATAAAATTCCATTCATCGTTACATAACCTCTATCACTCCATCTTCAAATTTCGACAATACAAGTCTCTCTGGAGTTTCAAAACATTTGATTATAGATGCTATGTCAGGATCAGGCAATTGTTATTCTCGTATTTTCTTGAGGTCATCGGTGGGCAAATGAACAATTGGGCGAGATAGTGTATCTGCTAAAACATTTTGTTTTCCTGGAACGAACCTACTCAATTTGTAGATCGTATACAGTTCGCCTTACGAGTCTAGCACTACGACGGCTGAAGGGCAAGGGGGAATAACGCCATTCATTTCGTGCTTTATACTGCCTGTCATAGGCTTGCGCGCAGCGTTTTTAAATACAGGGTGTCAATTTGGAAACTTCTCACCCCTATTATCGCGGAGTAGAAAAGTTTTCGAAAACATCCCTAAAACACGTCAACCATAATTTGAAGTGGGATGAGTTATTATGCAAAATTCACCATCCCTTTTTCAACCCCCCAGCCCCCAGAGCCACCCCCTAGAAAATTTTAAATGGGAAGGAGGGTCAAGTGATACATCATTTTGCAGGGTTTTAAATTCCATACATTTTGGTACTAAATTTTAGTCCCTAAGTTCAACTGTTTTGGAAATATTAGCAGTTGAAAATTGACTTTTTTGCTACTTTGACAGGCTGTAAAACCTTAACGGTTAATTTTAGAGGAAAACCGATCTTAAAGTCCGACAAATACCATTTTAAAGTCACGTGATACTGGTGGCAAAAAACGTATGTCCATTGATTATGTCGTTCATATCACCTACAAAATGCTACTGGTGATTAATTACTATTGAATTTTAGGATATGTTCCCACTAGCATTTTACAAACGCGTTTCTGGAGTAGTATTGACCAATCAGAGGGAAATTTTAATACTTGCAATTGTTGCGAGACTCACTTTTGTCGTATCCGCTGTCTGTTGTAATACATTCTGAACTTAAACTGGGTATCCGTTTTCTATTTGCTTCTTTTCGAGTTGGAAAAAGGTTAATATAGTCAAAATTATTAGCTGTGTTTGTTCATTGTATTATTTTCGAAAATAACTTTGACAAACTAATTGATGACAGTGACGGATTCTATTTCAGGTAAGAATTTTATGAACAATAATTAGACAGCAATTTTTTTGTCAATTTTACTATCACCGCTGTTTGAGATGTATTCAACAAGGATAGAGAAAAATCACGTGACTTTAAAATGGTATTTGTTGGACTATACTTTCTTATCTTAGATTTTCATAAACTATCAATTGACACCATTTTTGAATTTAACCGGAGATTAAATTTTAAACCGAAATTTTTGATCATGGATTAAATTAAAAGTTGCTGTCAAATAATAGTTTATAAAAATCTAAGATATGAATGTAAGTTAGGTTTTACAGCATGTCAAAATTGCAAAAAAGTCAATTTTCAACTGTCAATATTTCCAAAACAGTTGAACTTCAATTAAAATTTTGTACTAAAATGTATGGAATTAAAAACCCTCCAAAATGATGTATCACTTGACCCCCTTCCCATTTATGATTTTCTAGGGGGTGGCTCTGAGGGTTGAAAGAGGGAAGGTGAATTTTGCGTAAAAACTCATCCCCCTTCAAATTACAGTTGACGTGTTTCAGGGATTTTTGCGAAAATTTTTCTACTCTGAGATAATAGGAGTGGGAAGTTTTCAAATTGACACCCTGTATTACTTTTTCCTTATAAATGTAGATGTGTAACATAGATAAATATTAAGGTATTTTCTGTTGGAAGTCAAAAAGGCAATATTGCAATTTTTTCATCCGCATTCTTTCCATAGTGCTAGACTCGTAAGGCGAACTTTAGTTGCAACGACAGCGCTCATCTAGCTGATGGGGATTTCAATGACATTAGCCAACGTAGATGTTGGTGGTCACTCTTTACAATGACTGCAGAGGATTCTATATATCCTCGGAATTTTGAAAAGGCCCATACAAGAACCAAGGCTTCCCGCTCTGTCCTATTTTTGGGCATCATTCAATAAACAGCTGGCATATTCAATTGGCCTTTCCTCTGGATCCTCCCCCTGGAGTAAAGCTGCACAAAAAACTAGCATCCGTTCTGATAATGAATGGTTTGTAGGGTCAGCCTGTCGTAAAATGGGTCAACAAACACTTTAGATCATTAAACGCTTCTTCCCAATTCCAAGTAGATATCTTCCGAGTCAATTGGCTTAACGGTCTAGCTACATCCGCAAAGTTCGGGACAAATTTTTGAAACCAGAAGCAGGTTTGTAAGAAACTCAGAACTTGTTTCACATATTTAGGAGCACGCATGCTTACAATTGCAGCTATCTTGCCTGGACAAGGAGTGAATCTGTCTTGGCTGATCATATGGCCAAGATATTTTACCTCATTGGTGCAAAAAACACATTTTCTACGATTAACATGTAATTTGAATAATTTGAGTCTCTTGAAAACCTCATATAGGTCTTTTAGGTGGTCTTCAAAGGTAGATGATATAATTATTAAATCATGTAAATAAGCCAACATACTTATATCTGGTAACCCTGAGCGAAATTTCAACGAGCCTTTGAAAGGTTACGGGTGCTGTTCTCAATCCAAAAGGCATAGCATTGTTTCGAAAAGTACCAAAAGGAGAGGTCTTCCTTCGTCACTGGTATCTGATGGTAAGCACTTTTCAAGTCAAGAGTTGTAATGTAGGCAGCCTTAGCAGTCGAATGAAGCAAATCATCTACTCTAGGTAATGGGTATTGTATTGGAACAGTAATACTGTTCAATCGTCTATAATCAACACACAGGCGCACGTTTCCATTAGGTTTTGGGACCAAAACAACTGAGAAATCATAGGGCGATTCACATTCCTCAATGGTCCCATCTTCAAGGAGTTCATCGAGTAACTTTTTCAAAATATCCTTTTGTGCAGGTGAAATACGATATGGTGGTTGAAAAATAGGATTATCATTAGTCAACCGAATGGTATGTTCAGCATATGTTATCAGCCCTTTTCAAATACTGATGCATGTGATTGTAAAGTTTGTTTTTTATTTAAAGATAATTTCCCAAGTCAAAAATTTAGTAACTATGTTGGCAACACAAGTCTTTTCTACATAAAAAATTTGAAAGCCTTGACAATTTTACATTGTATTGCCAACATAATGTCATTTTGACTTTTATCTTTAAAAAAAAACACACTATAGCAAATGCTTTAATTGTAATTTCTCATTAGCAACTAAATTCTTTCCATCAGTATCTTTAAGTTGGAACGCTGCCTGAGACACTGCAGAAGAATCTTGAACACCATGCTCCTTGAAGAAGTCAAAAGTATGTGAAGGATTATCTTCAAAGTACCATTGCCATTTTGGAACGTTTGATACCATTTGAGCATTCGATAGTAAGTCTATTCCTACGAGTGTTTTGCTATGCTAATGACTAGGAATCGCAAGGCACGTAGTGGGAATTCTTCTTCCTTGAAGGTCCACAGTAGTTTCAAAGACTCTGGTTAGTACTTGACGTACATGTCCATCAGCTGAGGTCATTTGCAACTATGTCTCTAGATAGTGTAAATTCAATTCACATAAATGCTTAAACAAGAAATGTCCTGCGATTTTATTCTTGGCGCCTGAATCGACATAAACAAGCGAATGCTTTCCGGCAACACTGACTTCAAGCAATGGTCTAGACATTACTGAGACGGTACAAATATCTGTATGAAGAATGTCAAAGCTTGAAGTATGGGTTGTATTCGAATTGGAGGCAGGTGGTTTATGCTTACAAGTTGGACACTGGGATCTTATATATCTAGGAGCTCCACAGCAATAACAAGATATTCCAGTAGCTGAGGTTGCATTCTGGGAAACGTTGCCTCTTGGGAGGTTATTTTGTTGACTACTCGATTGGCTAGCAGCAAATTTCCGACATACTTCTTGTGTATGGCCAAAGCTTTGGCAGAATTGGCATTTTGGTCTGATTCGAGGTTTGTTATCATTATTTCCAGATGAGTTAGCAGCATTGTGTTTTTTCTCTTTGGTTTGATCATCAAAAGTATCTTCCATGGCTCTTGCTTTTTCAATAAGCTCAGAAAAAGTTTAGACTTGATTTCGAGGTAGTCTGTGTCTTATTCTAGGATTGAATAGAGCATAAACAATGCCAATTTGATGAATAATATCTAGGTCAGATGGTTTTGGTCATCTAGTAATGAGGGCTCGACAAGTATTAACAAAAATATCTGTTGGCTCCCTGTCTTTTTGTTCATGCGAGAACAGCTCCTTCAAAATTTTATAGGAGGGCATATTCAAACCATAAGAGTGTTTTAGTGCTAATAAGGCTTCATCCGAGGTGGAAATTGTGGATTGAATTCCCTGCCACCAGGTTGCAGTATGACCATCTAGCAACATTGGCTAACCTTTAACAGCATTGCCATTCGAAACATTGACAAAATCCTTTTAAACCAATTGTTGCATTGATAAATGCTTTTACGTCTTCATCCTTGTTCCACGAAAACTTTGAGGCACAATTAGAGAAGCTTCTAGTCATGGAAAGTGGAGGAGCCTGAGCTTGAACAAAAGCTTGGGCCATATTCGCAATCAAATCTTGAAGCTGCTGATTTGTCATGATTATGGGAACAGTTTGAGGTGAGCGTTCAGGAGGATTCATGATTAGGCTTACCTTATCTGTTTTTCACCTTCACCACAAGATTTTAAGGGAGATTGGATCCTTGAGATGAGTCTGAGGTCTTAGTTCTACTTCTAAGATTAAATCGGTCCATAAAACAATGTCTTGTCTGAAATCGAGTTTGGGGTTCGTTTACTTCGCACAAAATAAAGTCACTTGAAACAGTTTTTGTGTTGAGAAGGCCAGAGCATTGCGACGCCAAATTTATGTAGGGTGACATAGTAGAAATGAATTTAGACGACGGTCTACCCGATTTCACACTGAATTTATTATAATATTATAACGTTTACACAATAAAAAAAATTTAAAGTCTAACGAAAGGCACTTTTCTAATCAAATATTGTCCTTGTCCGATATGTATGCGCGAGGACGACCCAGTAGTGCGTTTCTCGTAGTTCGAACACAACAGATTCGGCACGATATTCATGAAAAACAGTCAATAAATGCACCCGAAACTGCGGGGAAAAATAGCAGAGAAAAATCAAGGACAACAGCTGTTTTTTTCAATCTGTTCGAAATGTCAATAGTCCAAATGTCACTTGCCCCGTAGAACGAGTCATTGTAAGTAACTCAATACGTACAACCAGGCACGACCGGGATGGCAGTGTTCACACGTCACAATCCAAAATATCCAACATAACCGGGTTAACCAAAAAGTTCTTGCTTTAATAGTTTAAAAGATCATAGCCATCTTTTATTTACATTTTAAGTATTTTGAAGACCCGTTATCAAATTATGTCAAACAGAACATTTTCGTAAGGCCTCTTTTCATAATAGGTAGCCCTATATGTTTACTTTATAACGGACCAACGACAGGAGAAACACATGAAAAAAAAAAACCTGTGGAATGATGCTGAAATGTTGATTTTGCGACCGATAAAGAACATTTACTCGTAGTTCCATCACGATTTCAGTTTAAACCTTTATCATGTCTGAAGTTTTATGATTGATATGGAGGGATTAGAAAATGATTTATCACTCCCGTAAGATGCGGATATGGTAAATATTTGAAGACGTTGCTTCGAATATTTTTTCAAATATGTTTTTTTCACACATGCTTCTACTTCGAATCTTTAACTTCTATTACTATACCTATACATTCTCTGATAAGTTATTGGTGAAATTTTTAAATAATTTTGTCATTGAACTTAATTTAATTACATAAGTAGGTCTTATGCTATAATCATTCTCAAATTATATCTCATATCATACATCATCCGAACAAATTTCAATCCACGCTTTTAAAACCAGTTTTATTTAATATGTTGAACATTTTCCAAATAAAATATGCCTCATTTAGCTTAGTTAAATTTAAATGTAATCATAGGGACTTATCAGGGGATTCCTCTTTAACACGCTGAGCCACAATGGCAACAAAAAATTAGGGTCCTACGGCCACGTTTTTTTTTTTCCCGCATTTGCTGCAAAAATATTATTTTGAAGTAAAATGCAACAAAAATTATGTAAAAAAACTTTAGATACTGGAAAAAACATGGTTTTGAAAATGTATCCACGTTGGATACACGTGGCCAGTTTATAATTTTTTGTATATTATACCATGGATATGTATCCAACGCAGATACATTGCATTTCATTGGTAACAATGCATAAATAAGTGGGTTTTATGGGTTGGAATTATAAAAAAATACGTGTATACGTTTTTATTCCACAGTATGTTTGTGCAATATACTATTTTACTAGATAAACCAATTTTTATATGTCCTCATTTATAAATCCGTCGGTAAAAAAAAAACAGAAATAAAATCCGCAGGCCAAACCGTTTTTGGGGTACCCCAGGCCGCTATATAAAAGTTCCCATAACAAAACATGCAAAGCCTGCATCTAACTTGGATACACACGGCCAGAAATAAAAAAAGCAGTTTGTATCCACAGTGGATACATGTGGCCCCTGAAGCATGGTGATGTATGTATCCATGTTGGATACACGTGGCACTAAACGTGTTAAATATTACTTTGTGGGCGAAAATTCGAACCCTATACAATAATTACAAGTTGTAAAATATTTTACGACGAGTTTCAGTGAAATTATCAATAGTAATATAACGAGTGCAATGAAAATTATCAATAATTTTTGGGAAATTTGCCCGAATGCATTTTTAGTTGAAAAAGAGCACGAGTGATGACAGATGTATGAAATTCTCTACAAAATTATGCAAACAAATCATCACAAAGACATCGTGGACATTTAATTATTAACTGAAGGCTAAAGGTTATATAATTAATAGAAAAATTAAATAAAAGCTTTTATCGTAGACTAAAAATCTTTTTATAACCATGAATATCACTCGACTACATTGTACAATGTATCCATTCAAGACTTAACCGTCACTATACTGTTGCAAAGCCGCAGATACTTAAAGCTCAATGGATCAACTTAAATGTTCCCAGTGAAGCGATTCAAGAGAACAGGAATACTATGCATTTACTCGTTTACAATGCAATAAAATAATATGCTTCATTGCCTATCCAAGGAACACCCTCAAAGTTAAACGATCCTCTGATACTCTTAATCGATTGGCCCTTGGCGGTGTTTTAACTAATCATGTTGGAGCATATCTATTACACGTGCTCCAAGTGTGTCTGCTCATCTCGAACGTTTGAAGTTAACTTTGTCGAGACGGGCTTTGTAAACGCAGAATTTAGTTCAATATGATTTAAATTGAATAATTTCATTTTGAGATTAGAAATTGTTTCGTTGAACGCAGGGGTGTTTTATATTTATTATTTTCTATATTGCTGATTCCGAAGTTATTTATTGATAAATTTTCAGAAGAGATCTCTACGAGAGCTATTTCAAATATAATTTTCCCATTCGCGTTATTAATATTTAAATCCCCTCTTTTTGAAGATTTTCGAGTTGAGAAGCAGCAGCTTTAAATAGCATTGATTATTCAACAGATATTTTTTTTTTTCTACGGATTTTCTTCAATTCCCTTTTCAACAGAGCGTTTTATACTATTAGGTTTTTCGAAATTTTTTGTCAAATTCTTGAAAAAAATCTTGGATTTGGTACACTTTAATGACACAGGATCATGTCAGACAGAGGAATGGCGAAAATAACTTTTAATTTCTTCTATGTGTTAATTTTATTAAAACAATAACTAGTTTCGATATCCTGTAGCTTCATCTGATATGTTACTGTTTAAATAAAATTTAGTGAATACAGTACCTAGACTAGAAATAAGTTCAACTTCTTCCCAACTATTGATTTCAATTATTTTAACCAAGTATCGACTCGATCAATTCAGGTTTTTAATAATATGTACTTAGTTATAAATTTCATTATGTTATGGCTACTTTGGTCGTGGCAGTTTGAAATGTTCGTAGCGGTTGGAAAAGGCAGCGATTGGAGGGTGCTAAGAATCCCCGGGTAAGATTAGGCCACCAAGGAAGACTAAAACTGCATATTGCCACATATAATACGAGAACCCTTCCATCTGACGAGAAAGTGTTGGAACTAGAAGAACTTGAACAAATAAATACACTGGGATGTAATCGGAATAAGAAAAATTCGGAAAAGAGGATAAAAGCAAATCCTACTGAAGTCAGGAAATATGCATTACCTCAAGTGTCAAGAAAATAGCTCTGTAGGAGGAGTCGGACTTCTGATAAATAGGCGAGATTTACACAATATACCTACTTGGGATCAGCAGCGTAAGCCCCAGAGTTTGCTTTGTAATATTTAACTTAAATGAACGATACAATGTCAAGATTATCCAAGCCTGTGCACCCACATCCCAAGGTTCGGACAAAAATATTGAAGACTTCTACGAGGATCTCACTCAAGTAATCTCAAGTCCTCCTTACCATGTTAGTCGGAGACTTCAATGCCAAACTTGTAAAGGAACAAAATTAAACGGAAACACCACTGGGATGTCATGGGGTTGGAGAAAACAATGAACGAGGAAACCTCCTGCTACAGTTTCTGTTCCACCATCAACTGACTGCGATGAACACATTCTTTAAAAAGGCGGACCATCGAAAGTGGACATGCACCAGTCCGGATCGTATGACGAAATTGATTTTATTACCTATTACAGACAAAAACGCATAGTCACAGATGTAACGGTACTAAAAAGCGTGTCAGTAGGGAGTGTCCACAGAATGGTGAGAGCCGAACGCAGAAAACTTATAAATAAAAATACAAACATGAAAGAGTCAATCAGCATAGCCCAAAGTGAACACTGCTCGAATCCTTCAGAAAAAGAAGAAACACTGACTTCAAATACCAAACAATTAATGAAAGAGAGGAGAAAATGTCTGGGGAAATACTTATAAAACAAGGACGGGCCAAAACAACTAAATAAGGATATAACGAAAGCTGCGAGGGCTGACATTAGCACACTTTACATGGGATTTC